GGGGCTCGATCCCAGGACCCTGGGATCATGACCTGAGCCGAAGGCAGACGCTTAACGACTGAGCCATCCAGGCGCCCCTTGTGCTCTGTTTATTAATAATGTTTCTATTAGTCTGTATACTGTGGAAGGTCACGTGTGTCTTTTTTTTTTCCCGTTCCCAGCTGGGTGGCACCATTGGAGACATTGAAGGGATGCCGTTCGTGGAAGCATTCAGACAATTCCAGTTTAAAGCAAAAAAAGAGAATTTCTGTAATATCCATGTTAGCCTTGTGCCACAGGTGAGCTTTCCAGATAAGTATGTAGACAGCAACTCCTATAAATCTTCCTGTGATATTCTGTTTATTCCACATTTTTTTAAAAGGAGATAGAAGTTTATTGAATACACTGCAAGGGCACAGCGGACAGGACAGCAGAGGAGAGACTGTCTGCCTGTTTTTTTCCACATTTTAAACTAGGGAGCCCTTCATTATCCGGAAGAGCTAAATATCCAATATACTGACAGTGACCCATTTCTTTTCAGCCCAGTGCTACCGGAGAACAAAAAACCAAGCCCACACAAAACAGTGTCCGTGCGCTGAGGGGGTTAGGCCTGTCTCCTGATCTGGTGAGTTACGGAGAATGGGTAAATTTCTTGGAATAGGACCTCCATTTCTTGATCTATAACATCATCTAAGTCCTTTCTATCTCTCAAGTGGTTCCTATGACATTGAGCTCTTTGTATCCAGGGGCCAGGGAAGGCTTATTCCCATATCCTCAAGGGCAGCTTCACACATTTCTAAATTGACCATCTGTTCTCCTCCAGGTCCTCATGTGATTGCCACATTGACAGCTGGGCAAGTGCAATGTCCTATCATTTTTATGGTTCCTGGGTCTTTTAGTGTGAGGTGGGACCTTGGGGATTTTCCTGATACCCACTAGGGTGGGCTATCACTGCTCTTATTTATAACAGGTAATCCAGTTATCACCAACAGTCTAGATCAGAGGTTGGCAAATAAGGGCCTGCAGGCCTGCTGCCTGTAAATAAAGTTTTATTAGAACATGGTACCGTCTACTGCTTACGTTTGTCCACAGTTGCCTTTGTACTGCAGCGATACAACTGAGTAATCGGGACAGTAGCTTCTTGACTTGCAAAACCTACAATGTTTACTGTCTGGCCCTTTAGAGAAAAAGTGGGCCAAGCCTCTAAAGAGGCAACATTTGTGAGCCTTCACTCTTGTTTACTAGAGATGCCTTGACATTTTGAGCTCTTACTGGTAGATTTGTGTTGAGTTTGATTGTAATTGCTTATATTAGCACTCAGGTGTTTCTAATAGTCCAGTGGCATGCCCAGAATGAACAGGTACATACTTGGTCAAGTCTCTGGTTGTAAGAAGAAATTAATATAGCCTCCTCCTGAAAACGAACGGTGGCATGAACAGCCGGATTCCTGCTTGCTGACCTGTGCACACCTGACTTTGACAGATTGTCTGCCGAAGTTCAACACCCATCGAAATGGCTGTGAAGGAAAAGATTTCTATGTTTTGTCACGTGAACCCCGAACAGGTGAGTGCTGCTCTTTAGCTTTTAGTGCTTTGCAGGCAGGCACTTCTACGGATGCTGATGTTTGGTCTCTCTTAAATTACTGTATTATTTTTCATGGCATTTATGAAAGCTTTGGGAGATTCATATCCAGCCAGCCACGGATTCCTTGCCCTGAAGTGAACAATCTGAGACTCCTGATTCCTTAGGTAGATCACATATTTCTTTGCATCATCATTCCTTAAGTCACAGGGACAAAACCAGGTGGGTTTTTGAACTTAATAGTCAAACCTGCAGGGAGAGAACCCCGTGAAGCCTGCTTATCTTCTGTTTGTCTTGTCTTTCCAGGACACTGACTGCTTTCACCGTGATTTCTCCTTGTATATGTTACAGCCTAACTTTGCCCAGACCCCATTCACACCATCGCTGCTGAGTATATCAGTGGCCTCAGTTCAGTTCCTTGCTAAAGAAACTGTACCGTGGGGCGCCTGGGTGGCTCAGTTGGTTAAGCGACTGCCTTCGGCTCAGGTCATGATCCTGGAGTCCTGGGATCGAGTCCCGCATCGGGCTCCC